CCATAAGTGCAATCTACAGTATTGGTCTCTAGACCTGGGATCACACATTTGGCTCTATCCAAACACTTTCCAGTTCAACTTGCCAAAAAATTGAACAGTCAGCAATCTCTTTCTATCAAATTTAGAAATGTATTAGGAACAATTTATTATTCCCAAGAGCTAAAGCCAGTGACCAAGAACCTCCTGCCATGTAGCAATGAGGGAGCCTTCCTTAGAATTTGAAACTTCCCTCCTTGCTGACAGGTTTTTGGATTCATTAACCAATTTTAATACAGTTAACATGAGTTACAACAAATATGCTTAGGTAATATCAATCTGATTAAAAGACATTATCATTAGGATCAGTTTCAAGTGAATCACCCTATAATTAACCTCTGTTGATTAGGTTTTTTCCACATACTGACTGGCAAGCATCTAATTTTTCTCATTCCCCTTAGACATGGCTTATTTCAATATTTGTTTAAGAACAAAAGAAGTAACAAAAAACCCCACCAAGACTGAAGTGCAAAAACAATTAAATAAAGATTTTCCTATGCTAACAGGATCTGCCAATATCAGAAGTGTTTATTAGCCACTATTTAATATAATCCAAACAATAAAGAAGTACTGGATTATCAGTGTAGTATAACTACATCATTAAAAAGAGCAAAGCCAAAACAACTGCAGAATATTTCTATATTGTAGACGTTGCCTTGACATTTATCCACATTTTGTTCTTCTCCCCATGACAACCACAATTTCTTTCACTCAACAGCAAAAAGTGTGCAAGACTGTCTCCTCCTCCACCGTTTCACCTAAAAATGACAACATTAAATAAAAATTCGTAACTCACAGATGCATTTATCACACCTACACTATCTTTCTGTTTTAAAAACCCTGTGATGTACGTCCTCACCTATTGTACTGAAAGAACTTGTGAAGCAGGAAGCTTCTTGCCTGGCTATTTCCTCTGATCTTGTCCCCTTAAGCAGCTTGTTAATACAGAGGTTTAGTTGTGTGCACAGACTAATCCTAGACATTTTAAAAGGTACAGACTACCAGTAGTGTTTGAAGTTTGACTTTTCAGGCACTATAAAAATAATACTAATTTAGAGTCAAATAATCCACCAGGTTATCATGTCTAGTCATTTTCCAGATTTTCAATTGATATTTTAGATTTGGACTATTTAAGTTTAAACTTGGATGCATTCCAGATAAAATATTACTTGGTCCATTGGAAGAAGTATTTAAGCTAATTTTTTTTTTTTTAATAAAAGACACGGCAATATGCAGAACGAGATTCTATGCTCCTTCTCAGAATCTTTTGCAAAAAGCTGCTCTCCCTATGCTTCATTCACAAAAGATACAGACAATTAAGGAGGGAAAAAAATTTTCTCCTTAATCAACCTCTTATTATTTTAACCTCTCCTCACAGATCTTGAATCAAGTGGTCTATTTTCAATACTGTTCTCTTCTGGACTCCCCAATTCAGCAAGATAACTTTGATTTCTTTGTGTGCATTAAGTGTACAGTTCCAAATTGGACACAATTACCTAGTTGACTCCATTTCTATCCTAGGTTGTGCAGAGGGATTTACATCAGTTTTACAGTGTTGAATGACAGCACTTTCATTTACTCATCCTGAACTCTCAGAACTACTTTTGGTGCATGATACTCTTCATTTAAGGTCAGCTCTTAAACCTCAATCTCTTTCTTCAGAACTCTCAGCCATTCCTTATCCTGGACTCGCCTACTTTCTTCTTTAATTTAAAAGCAGTATTTTAAATTTGCCCTTAATGGCTTCAATCCCATTTTTCCCTGCTCATTCTAATTTCTTGTTTCACGTTAAATTCTCCTCCAACCTTTCAACCTCTCTGCAGTGTCTCAATCTGGTATCATTTTTCACTGCAGTAAACATGTGTGTCAATAGATCCATTAAAATCCTCTTTTCTTGAAAAGAAAAACATAAAAGACTGTTGTTTGTGCTTCTGCATCAGAAATGACTTATCTAGAACATACTTTTAATAAAGAATATAGTTCAGAGAGACAGAGGAGTAGAAAGCAATCTTTCAAAGAAGAATCCAAGCTAAATGTCTACCAGGATAGACGAGCACACTGAAGCCAAATATTAGAACAAGAAACAGATTTTGCTGATCCTCAGGCAAGAGGGAAAGTAGCAAGTAAGATCATAGATACTCCAGAACCACAGACAGTCCTGATAAAATGGCAGGGCTAAATCAGCAACATACCCTCCTGAAAAGGTATATTCCATCAGGAATCATACACTGATCTATTTAGATATGAAGAAACAGAGAATACCTATCCAAGATTATAGGTGCCCTTACAATAAATAAAACTCAAGATATACAGGCCTTCTCCAGAGATTAGTTTATCTTGAAAAGCCTATCGCAGATTAATCTAATTTACAGAGTATCTGAGAAAGGATAAGAAAGTGTTTTAGAATGCAATAGAAAAATGTTGATTTGATCTTTATTTCTCAACAAACTACAGAACGGCATTTCAGAGATGGAATGGATTAGACTAAGTGTGAAATATGATTTGGGAAGAAAAAAAGGAAAGGCTACCATGGAAACGTTTTTTATATCTGAGAAGAATCAGGAAAAAATATGAAGTATATGGATGATAATACAGTTTTCCCAAACCAGACTATGATAGCAGAAAATAATTCCAAATGCAGCTTGTTACAAAATCTGACCAGAAGCAGGAATCCAACACAATCAAGTGATCAAGTGATCATCATGCATGATCATGTGATACAGGAAAGCTATCACCTTGTAGTGCTCAGTTACTTGTCTCAACCCACCAGCACTACCTAGATCTTACCTAGACAGTAAGCCCAAATCAGTTTTTCTCCACTGCTCAACATCCCTCAGTAAATTGAGCAATGCATATACCAAACCACTGGCTTAACTATAGCTCCAGGCACTGCAGTTTATAGATCTGTACAAATCCTTTTAATTACCCTCCCACACAAACTACAAAGAAAAGGCAAGTGGAGGTTTCATGCAGCTCTCAACCACTGTGCCTCTCTTGCTAAAGGAAGGAACACACCTCTGATAAAGTCAACCCATCACCACAGCTTCTGGACAAATCAAGTTAGTGTGAACAACAGGAAGTACAAAAGCAATTCATTACACATGCATGTATGCCTGCAAGCAGGCTCTCACAAGGAAACTAATTTTAATTTACAAAACTTTGAATCAAGATACAAATTGTTGTATAACATAATGTCATGTACAAGGGACCAGCTGATTCTGACTACAAGTGAGGTTTTGAGAGGTCATGAAAGTTCTTCTACCTTTCATTCATTTTCAGAGCCTGGAGCACACAGATACTACACACGGGGCTGGAGAGTTGGAGGGTGGGGGAAAGATTGTTACAGATTTCCTGGTTACCTGCTAAGATCTTTTTTCCTCTGAATCGTTGTTTCTACTCCATCTCAATAAACCATTCCAACTAACTGCAATGGCTGGGAGGGATCTGGCAGGATTAGCCACTTCTAGTCTGAAGCTTCCACAGAAGCCTGTTCTTCTCCACAGTCAAATCATGTATTCCCAGCCTAACAATTTCAAGAGAGTATGCCCACAAACTGCTGGGCAAATCCACTGACTGGCAGCTGCCTAGAGGGACAGGTGATGCTCCCACACTATTTCCTCCTGCCTGAAGAGTCTCTCTGTTTCTTCTGTACCATTTAGACACTTGTTTGAACAGTTGTCTGAGCTGATCCATCCAAAAAGCCAAGAAACAAAACTAGCCACCTTTCCCCTGGATTTGTGAGATAAATCAATTAACTAGTTTCAGTAGGAGTCAGACAGAGAAGAAAGCTGGGTTCAGGAAATGGAAACAAGTCCTTTCACCAACAGGAAGAAGTTTCACAACAGCTAACCCAGTTTCAAGACACTTACCTGGACATTTGGAAAGCTATCACCATATTCTTTCTTCTGGGCAGGCCAGAAAGTCCCTAGAACATTACTTGAAATCCCACTATTTTTTTCATTTTTCTTTTCTTTTTTTTTTTTTTTTTCTTTTTTTTAAATAAACCATTCATTGAACTCTTACAATACCACAGTACTTCTAGAATTATAAGTGCACAAAATAAATCAAAATAATTGAGAGCACTTTAGATATTGCCAGCCTGACAACCACTAGTGAAGCTGGGTGAGCTGTAAAAGCATCAAATCTGCAAAAAATTTGCTTGAACTCTTAGTCTAATTTGTTCAATTGTGGAAGTTTAAGAAATTTTCACAACTTTCTTATCATAGTTAAGAATAATGATCATAACAGTCTTTTCTACAGTTGCATTAAAAAAAAATAATGTCATAATATGCTTCGTTTCTAAGTTCACACCCGGATTCATGTTTCAGTGAACTTCATTCTTTAAGCATTCTTCTCAAAAAGAAGAGAGCTACCTTTCTGAAAAGGCAAAACAGAGTTTTATTTAAATTTAAAAATAATGTGTCCTCAAACACAACTATTATGTACTTGCCCAGACCTTGAAAACCATAAGAATCTGAAGTATTAAACAGCACTGGATCTGGAATATCCCAGAGCACACAATACCTTCCACCCACAACAGCTTAGTTGCTTATATCTCTTGAAAACCTTCATGGAGTAGGGCCTGTGCCCAGCCTCTGCTGAAGTACAGCTTATCCCTGAGAAATAACATGTCATAGCTGCAATACAGATGGAAAGGGCCCAAAAATACTGCCAAATGTATGCATGATTTTGTATGTAAGACAAGAGGGTACATAATGAAACTACCAAAGAATTTCTCCTTTTAGAAATGAGCGGCAAAGAGAAGGGAGAGAAATAGATGTAAGGAGAAACAAAAGGTGAAATGGTTATCTGATTGACCCAGTTTGCAAGTGATCACTCAAAACTGAAGGACCTGACCTCTCTTTTGCAAAGTTTCCTTTTCTCAGCTGACAAAGACTTATCAACAGAAGAGCAGTTTTCAGTTGTGAAGGCAACATCACAAAGAATGAGAAGTACATACTTACAACCAATAATTACTGTTTAAATTAATATTTTTGGGGATTCTTCTTCCTCACTTTCATTTTGAAGCATAGGCAACTCTCTGAAAGTAGAAGAGAAAAAGATAATTAGTTTTCATCACAGAATCATTTAGGTTAGAAAAGACCTTTAAGATCACCAAGTCCAGCCATAAACCTACCACTGCCAAGTCCACCACTAAACCATGTCCTTAAGAGCTGCATCTTTTAAATTCACCCAGGGATGGAGGCTCAACAACTTCCCTGGGCAGCCTGTTAGTGCTTGACTACTCTTTCAGTGAAGAAACAACTGTTTTAAACAAAATCTTACTTTGGGGTTAGCAAGGTGTGGAGTTCGTACATCATTTCCTAACAGTTGTCTCACTAATTCAGAATGGCAGCACGCTACTGAACTAAATGTTGATTTCTGGCCATTTAACAGAAAAGCAATCAAAAGCTGCACTATCAGACTGAAACAGCAATAAATTGGTTGTTTAAAAAGCTTATTTGTGAACCTGACTTCAAGGAAAGGAATGAAAGCAAGAAAAAAAATAAACAGGAAACCAATTAAAGCAACAATAGTACCAGGAACAGGAAAAAAAGGAAAAAAAAAAAAAAGATAAATGCTTCAGATAACTGACTTTTACTGCAATGAAAATTCTACCAAATTAGTCTTATTTTTGAATGAAAATTAAGTGATTTTTCTATTACAAAGAGAAGCTCCAGCAGCTGTACTGTTAAATGAACAAGGTGAACTGGCTATTCTAAAGCTCTCAAAAGGAGCAACAGTGATAAAAAAACAAATATGAATTCTGTGTTTTCCTATTCATGTAATAAATTATTTAAAGTAATCAGCACCTACAAAGTCAGAGCTCATGAACTTCCAAAAATGGAAAGCCTGAGGGAAACAGGGAGATAGCCTATTTTCACTTCTATTTGAGATTGATAGTTTGGGTATACTTGGCTAAGGCACTCAATGAAAAGGTTATAGCTTTTGCTGTGATAAAGTATCTCAGAAATTCAAACAAAAAAAAAATACAACCCAGTTACTTCATGTATAAAAAGTAAAATGAGAAAAAATAAACTCGTTCTTTTATTGTAGCTTTCATCAAATCAGCTACACTGCCTGCTTCACAAAAATGGAGAGGTGAAACTTTCAGCTGAAGGTGACTCAAGAAGCCAAGCAGAACAAAATTCGCAGTCCACTTGTTCCAAGAGGTAGCCCTACAGGGAAAACATTAGAGCATGGTCTAGAATGATGTTTACTTTTACTTTTGTATGAAGCATTATGATGTATTTTCTTACAAGTTCATATTTCCAACCTCATTAACGAGTAGAAGGTAGTACATTATGTGAGCCATACATATGGAAAAATAGATTCAGACAGATTGGCTCATGGTAAACATGAAGTGGAAACATCTATATTTCATGTAACAACAAGAACTATTACTAAATTTTATTTTTAAGCAATAGATTTGCAAGCAGTACCAAAAGGCCTTCCAGACCTTTCAGGCTGGGGAAATCACCATGCCCTACACTAATAAGAGGAGAGAAATAAAGCTCTTTGGGTTTTTTCCCACACTTCCATAAAAAGAATACAGTCACTTTACATAAATTGTGATTACCTTAAAACAGCCAGCCTACTCTGAAACATTCAAAACTAGCAAAAACTTCACAATTCTACAGCTTAGTATTGCTAATAAATCCTGAGATTTTAATTCCATTCATGTAAAAACTGAAAGTATTTTTAAAAAATCTTTGCATTTGTGTTTCAACCACCTCAAGAGTATTTACAAATATCATTAATTAGATAGTGGTTCCTTCCAGATAAATTTGCCCTCTTACACAGATCTTTTCAAAAATAAAGGTCATGAAGTGACCTTATGGATGGGAAATCTTAGTTATATGCCCAGTTATGACTTTGAATTGCTGGGTGTACACAGACTAGTCATTACATTTTTCTTTTTTCTTTAAATTAAAATATATATATATATCTTTATAAAGGATTCAGCAACTTCTGCAGTGCTCAATCCAGTCTTCTGCATTACGATCAAAACATTCCATCAACACTTTTCATATAATTTAAGTTGCATTTTAAAAACACACAAAACTTGAAAGCACAAGAGCAAGGTAATAGAGTTCAAGGATGCCACACTTTAGTGACTGTAACTAGAGAAGTGTTAGATGAAAATACCTACATAACCTTAGGAACAAAGAGGGTTGCATCATGGAAGAAGAAAAAAGGAAACACTTCTCCCATCCCTTCTCCATTTGACTGGGGCAAACTGATTTAATTCTTAACACAGACACTAGACCCATATGCCAGGCCAGGACTACTTTCCCAATACCACAGGACAAATCAGACTCACCACTCAAAATCCCACCTTTAGAGAATGGCAAATTGCCTCTGCTTCAGAAGAAAACAAACTTTGCACTAAGAGAAAAATTAAAAGTAATAAATATCCCCTTCAGATATGTACAGGATACCAGTGGTAGATCTAAGGAACAGAATTTGTAAAACTGAAAACTTTATTACAAATAACAATCAAGTATTTCCCTATCTGCTCTACCATCTTTCTCAGAGATTTCTGTTACTCTAGTACCAAGAAATCTCCAATGTTCATTTTTAATTTCTGAGTCCAGGATCATTTTACATGGTATTCTTACATAAATATAATAAAGATCATCTTGAGCCACTGAATTTCTTTCTTCCCATTACTCAGACTAGACCTCATCTTCTGATTTTCAAACAAGATTTGTTCTTAAATTTATGCCTCAGATATTTATTTTCTGATGTTTCTCTCCCATAAATGCCCCCATACCCAATAAAGACTATTGTTATTTATTCCCAGGTCTCAGTTGACAAATGCTTTCTTTCTCCTTTAAGAAGGCAAGTTCAGCTTAATCACACTAACAGTTCTTTCTTATCCAAATGACTTGCTCTTTTCTGAGTGTGACTGTGATCAGAGCTAATGCAAATGTAAATGTAAATCAATGAATGCTTTATTGCCTGGTCCTAAAAATCTGTTTTTAAAAGCTACAAACCAGCTGGTGTGATTTAGAATCACGTTACTCTCCCCAAGCCACATCATCTGAGAAGGAAGCAGATCAGGAGCTGGGTCATACAACAGCAATCTGCCTCTGATCACCAGTCTGGTTTTATCAGGAGTTCTTATCAGTGCTCATATATGTGAATTTGCAATTTATTTTTTTTTTTATTAAACATTTTCTATTATTCAGAATTTATATTAATCTACTCCTAAGTGTGACAATCCTACCTTCTCCAGAAAAAGCAATTTCTGAAGCCTACTGACCAGCTATTTAGTAAAGTCACCTGCATATTCCACTGCTGGCTCTCCAGCTTCAAGTTTCAAGAGAAGTGACCGAACCTATGTTAGGGAGAACACTGCATGAAAAGAATCTATTTTAAACAATTTAAGCACAACAAAACCACTTCAAACAAACAAAATCAGTAAATTGGTAAAGAAAAAGAAATAGAAAATTACTCCTTTGGGAAGCCCAAGTGAGGCTCAGAACATGATTTTATCAGTATCTTTCTCACAGAGAAGTAGGTATATAACTGAAAAACTTAATTTCATTTCTCCTATACCCATCAATCCATCTGTCTGGCAGCATACTAATTTCTGGTACTAAGCAAATTTCTTAAAACAAGTATGTAAAGACAAACATCCCACAGAGACAGAAGGAAATATGTATATATTTTCATGTATATATTAAAAAAAAATCATATAGGGTTTTCTATATACATTATATAATGGTTTGGGGTTTGGTTTTGTTGCATTTTTTTTCTTCAGATTCCTTACTGCTAAGAGCTAAAAAAGTTGGCATATGCAAGGTACAGATTCAAATCACCAAACTTCTACTGCACAGGGAAGAAGCACTCAGGAATCATCTGCTTTGCAGAGAAGTGCACAGGATTCTTTCTGCAATTCAGTTCGGTATAGGAGGCTCCCCTTCAAACAAGCTTTGATTACCGCTGGTTTGAAAAGGACATACAAGTTGGTCAACGAAATTCCACTTTCAATCAAGCCAGATCTGGGAGCATTATTCCTCAATATTCATCAAAATAAACATAAAATACAAAAATCTCCACAGTACTTTGCCACTTTGACATTGTTCTAAGAGCACACCATTTTTAACAGCACAAACAACAATTAGGAACAAAATTTAGTATCATTAAGTGCTTATCCTTTACAGAAGAAAATATAAAATAGTTGCTTTAAGGTACAAAATCTCTTCATGATATTGAAATTTTAACACATAATGGTTTCTCAAGGCACAAACTCAGAACACTCCACAAAACTGATGCAGTACACAGAACAGTGCACAATCTACTGACTTCTTTTATGGGCATATTAAAGGGGCAAATAAAGAATTAAGTTATAAAATACTATCCCAAATATAAACACATTTTTAATCCATCCACTTGCCAGGAGCTAGGCGACTCAGAAGGAAATAAACCTATTTTGAGAACTTGAGAACTGCACTGTTCTCAAGTTCTTTCCTGCTCCTCTCCCTCAAGACACATTGGCCCAACCACTTGACTAATTTCTCCCTTTCATTTACATGGCCCTAGCTGACACATCCCATTATTCCTGGAAGACACATCACTGTTGTTCAGTGTCACTTTACAAAGTTTTGTGTATGCTAAAGTGACATTGCTAATACATTACACTACTTCATGTGTAGTGCAAATTTGGGGAAAATTTGGAAAAACACTTCAAGCAGTGGACCTCTTTTAGTTCTCTCAAATCCAGGAAAACATATGCTTCTTTTCCCCAGAGTTCCACTTTTTCTCAGCCATGTGAAGTGCCATCTGTGCTTCCCAGCCTGGCAGGCTAAAACTCTGCTGTCATTCAAATCACCAGTGAGCAAATTAAAGGCAAAGACTGTCCTCTTTAATAAAATAACAAGACTTACAAATGGCAACCTAGATCACAGCTCCAAAGGAATGAGTGGCAAGTGTGGGTAGCTAAAGGGTCACAGGGAGGAGAAGGTGGCAAACAGTAGAACATCTCCAGAGCTTCCTTGCAAACTTCTGCTTGTCAGCAAACTAATACAAGAA